GGGGTTTAGATAAGACTCTTTTCCATTTCCATGAAATAACCAGTCTCTGGGCCATTTGACCTTTCTTAAACAAAACCTGCCTGGTGCCTGGGCAAGTTGCAACTTGCCTTTCTTTTCTTTTTTTTTTTGAGTTGGAGTCTCACTCTGTCGCCCAGACTGGAGTCCAGTGGCCACCGCAGCCTCGACCACCTGGGCTCCGGTGATCCTTCCGCTTCAGCCTTCTGAGTAGCCGGAATTACAAGCGTGCGCAACCACGCCCGGCTGATTTTTTTGATTTATTGTAGAGATGAGGCCTCGCTGCCCAGGCGGGTCTCGAACCCGCAGGCTCAGGCAATCCACTCACCTCAGCCTCCCAAAGGCGCGGGATGACAGGCTGAGCCACCGAGCCTGGCAACTTGCCTTTCAAAAGGAAATACCTTTAACTGCTATCAACCCCTTTCCTGCCCTGGGCTAGTGATTGCCATGAGGCCAACTGCCGATATCCTGAACCCGCTACATGTCTCTGTGTTTATTCACTCAATCATACAAGAAATACATCTGAGCATTTGCTGCATCCAGCCACAGTCTTATTGTGGACGGTGTTAGTCACTGCCTTTTTGAAATACTGAAATTCACACAGTCTTGCTTAAGTATGGGGTTAAGACTCATATACTATTATAATATTAAAGTAGCTAGGGAAATGACTTCAGACAGCCATCTTCAGTCAACTGAATGGATAAATAACAAGATCGATGAACTTGGAAAGAGAGGCCCTGGGGACCTTCTGCAAACTTTACAGCACCTTTTCAGAATTTGTCCCTCTCGTTTCTCACTGATTCTCATACATAGTACCTACTCCTTTGTCACTGGTCCCAGATAAGTAGAAAGAGCATAAAAGGGAGACACGATGAATGTCCCGTCAGGCCCTGCTTCCAGCTGGAAGCCAGATTCTCAGGAGTCACTCTGTCTCCCTGATCTCTGCTTTTGCATCTATGAGAACATTGGACTGTGTGATCCTGATATCTCTTCCTATTCTAAAATGATGTGGTTTTTAAAGACACTCCTTTCTCTGAGACTCATTTTCCTTATCTCTAAAAATGGGAAGAATGCCTACCACACAAGGTGACTTTAAGGATTAAAAGATAGCAATCAACCCTCTCTCCCTATACAAATCTATTTGGTTGCTCAATTTAGTTAGTAAGAGTTCATGGAGTAAATTCATAGGTAATAAGGAGTATAACACTGCCTGAATCTATTTTAGTTCAGTATTTTATAAAGCAAGTGAATTTTGGATAGTAAAGATTTAGCACACATTTTTGGTTCCTGGATATCTATGAAAGCACCTTGCATGCAGGCAACCCTCGGTAAAGATTTACTCTCTTCTCCTTGACCTTGATGCTGGAGTAAAAGCTTGTTCATTTTTGCAGCACCAGTATCTATCATAGTACCTAATAGTCAGGAGGTGCACAGTGAATGTTTGTGGCCCTCAAGCAAGTAATAAGATTCTGCTAAGCTTCATCTGTAAAATGTATTCAACAATCCATTGCCCATAATGTGTTGCCAAAAGTGGTCAAAGATTATTTTCAAAAAAGGTAAAATCGTGACTCTCCTAGTTATAAAATGAACAGGTGTTAAATATTTTTAATAACTGATTTATCAGTGAGAGAATCTATAGTGTGATAATCAGTTCGAAAAAAAATCCAAAATAAAGACACATTCATAGATGGTGAACATGGAAATGGATGTGCTGACAGAGAAAAATCCAACTTCTTCCGCTATATGGAAGAAAGTCAACAGAACCACTATGGAACAGAAAACATGGGTGTGTTTACCTATATGTCTGCAGAGAAAAGTTATTTCACATTGATATTAGTTATTTACAATTTATAGAGTTGAAAATTCTGTAGAATTCTTTTACAGAATCAGAATCAGATAAGCAGAAAGGGGTGCTAAATACAGTATATAGTTTCTCAGTGAAGCAACCATTTTTCCCCACATAAATTAGACAATGCTTAGAAATCACTTCATTGGTGGCTAGCAGATAGTGGACCTCCAATAAATGATTACTGTACTAAATTGATACCATGACACACAGTTGTGGCAGATTGAGTGTCTGGTAGATACATAATAAATTGAATCAGAATTGGAGCTCTTAATAATCAACCTACTATCTAGGTTTGGTATTCATCCTCCCATGCAATTTGGATTCTTCCTCTCCTCTCCTCTCCTCTCCTCTCCTCTTCTCTCTCTCTCTCTTTCTGTCTTTCTTTCATTCTTCTCTCTCTTTGCATCAGCTCTGCTATGTTTCCTTACCATGTACTAAGAAGGGTCTGAGAATTGCTGCACACTTAAAGACACTTCCTACTAGGATGACATATTATTCCAAGGATTCTTCCAATAACATAAAATGATAATGAGTAAAACTAATTCTGAGACAAAATTAACAAAGCCTGTTTATTAATACACCATGTTAGAAAGGGAAGCACATTTTAGGGTGGAAAATGAGAAAATACTCAGACTGTTACCTATGTGACAAGTAATTTATCAAGATGGGATTTTTGGAAGCTGGGAAGACATTGGTATATTTTGCAAGTGCTGGTTGGTTGCAAAGGGGCAGGAGTGCAAGTTTGAGGAAATTTAAAAAGAAGAAAGATGGTTCAAGGTGAGTGGCAGAGGGTTTTCTGTGGCTGGCTATTTCCAGGACAAAGGGGGATCAGTGGGGTGATTGTGCTAAGTTGAATAAGTAATAATGTTTAGATGCATGTGAAATTATTTTTGTTAAATTTAATTAAAAGAGTTCTGTAAATTCAAAAGAGAAATGTGAAATTTAAAGCCACAACAAATGTAACGAAAGAAAGAAAAGTTATGCAACATAAAAGAAAAAAATTTCAACAAGTTGAGTTTGGAGATTTAATTGGCTTTTTATTAGTGATTCATTAATTGGGCAGCACGCCGACTATAAAAATAAGAAGGTGTTGCTCCCTGGGCATGTCTGCCGTAAGGCAGCTTGTGCAGAAAGAGGAAAACAGTATAACACAGAAAAGCAAATTGGTTAACAACAGGTTTCTTTCCTTGTAAGTGTTAAAGAAGAGGAGAGTTCCTTATTACTCTGCTCGGTTTGGGTCTTTTTTGAGTGGTTTCTGTGAATCTCCTGTTTTCTGGGGGAAAACTGGCCTGTTTGGGGATTTTCCTTTATTGTTGTTTGTTTTTAAGTATCCGTTCAATTACATGGCACTTACACTAGTGACAACAATTTGGTTGCCTGTTAGGGCCAAGAAGCTCAATCTAAAGCGATGGTCTTCTATAATTTATATTTTTAAATGGTTAAGAAATTTGACCATAGTGATGAAATATTGTGACATAAGATTTATTATCAATTTGTTCTTGGGATGAACCATGGCCCAGTGACCAAGTAATTCTTTTTATTTGTCTTAAGCCAAATTCAGTATACAAAATATTTGATGGCAATTATTTAAACAAAAAAAACCAAAGCAATAATTAGGTCTTCTTCCCCATCTGAGTTGGTTTTTCAGAAAGGGTTGTAATAGTGGATTCAGTTTAATTGGACTTACCATCTGACCTTCCCTACTTATACATCTTTCCTTTAGGATTTGAAAAATGAGACTAATAAAAACATCTACGAGACAGAGTGTGGATAGTAAGTTCTTGGGAAGGTTATTGTACTGATTGAATAAAATTATATCTTTAAAAGCAATTAGTACAGCCCCAGATCCATGGTAACTTCTCAGATGTTAAATTCCTTTTCACCTTCTCAGGGTATGCACTAATAAATAAATTTTAATCAAATCTATCATATCAAATCTTTAATCAAGAAATTTTTATTGAGACTTTACCATTCATGTGGACATCTACTAGGTGTAATTGCAGACACAAAACTACCATAGCATGCAATTTAGGTTTTAAAAGAGAAAATATTTTTTTGTCATCACTTTTTATTACACAAATAATAAGAATAATCAGATTTTGTGTGTGTGTGTGAGTTATGGATGTTAAAATCTGCCAGCATGTATTGGCATTATATAATCTTAATTATACGATTTTATTCTATTATATACAGGAGTAACCGGAAGATCAAAGAGAACCTATATAGATCAACAGTATGGAAACATCCTGAAACTACTTTGGAATCTCAATAAATTCGCTGGATTCAAGTTTTTCAAAGAGGGAAACCGGTCCATGGATAATTTGCCACAGGTCAGCGAGAGGTATAGTTTCCTCCATTACAATCCTTCAAATATTCTTTGACGATGGGGTTGTTAATTATATTTCTTGTCATTATGATGTTCCTTCGGTACAGCTGGCAGCCTCTCTTCCCTCCCACACGTGTACATGTGGATGCCGGCATATGGCGAAATGCCTGGCCATTTCATCTGCTTCATCTGGGCTCCAATCAGTTTCAAAGGAGAAAGCAGGGAGAAAAATTGCCCACCTCATAAAAGTTTTACTAGTAGCGATTTATGCGGAGGGGCGGGAGTCCGACGGTTCCTCTAACAGATGTTTCCCAGCGCTGCTCTGGGAGTTGAAAGACTGGCAGATCGACCTGCCCAAGAGTCTGAACGAAACAAGGGACACAGGGTGGTCTCCCCTCCTTTTTTGAAATGGGGGCAGCAGTTCAGTCATTAATATGAATGTTTGGGGAAGGTAACTGGCTTTTTATTCTCCGTTGGAAAGCCTGGGGAAACTACAAAGCTTGATGTGATGACAGCATGAAAATATTTTCTGTGGGGTTACTGGAAAAGTTTAGCTTGTCTGAATGATCCGATGGGGAAGAATGAAAGTCCAAGTGACTCAGAGCACAGGGGAATTTGTAAGCTGGAGGGCGGGGCTGCGGCATCCTGCATCGCTCAGTGTTGTACTATCAAGTTTCAAGACCACCGAAGCTTAGAAATAGGAGCCATCTACCTCTGCAAAACTCTATTCATACATCTGTGGGGTTTCCCTGCATTAAGGAGAAAAAAAAAAAGATCAAATTGCAGTGACATGACAGCCCCATTCATGGCAGGGGAGAAGTTTGTACTTGCCATTGTAAGTGGCAAATACTTGAAGCATTCAGGCTGCTTTAAAGTAAGTTAGAAATGTAATTGAACCTGAAACCAAGGTAGAAGGAATTGCTTGGGCCTCTTCCTATTACTATTTTTCTCTCTCTGGGTTGTGTTACAACAGCAATCAGTCCTGCATTCATACCTCAAGGTCCTCCCTGAAGACTACACTTTCTTTCGTCTACCCCATCACGTCACGTAGACTCAACTAAATGGAAGCCATGTGAATCTATCTTCAGGGAGACCACTGTGTTTTGAGGGTCATACGTGAGTCTGGAGAGGGAGGTGTTTGCACAGGATGATGTGCCCTTTGACGATGAGGAAGTAATGACATGGTGAAGATGAGGTATCAGCTGCTCAAGAGAAATATGAACCCAAAAGGGGAGAAAGACTTGAATATTCGTTTTATAAAAACATACATGACTGTCTCCTCTCCTTGACTTCAGACTTTGTCTATGTATACACAGAGGATGTGGCTTTAGAGTTCTTTTGTTTAAAGAGGAGAAAAGATTCATTTAAGGGGCCCTGGTAAAATGTAAATTATTCTGACAACACGTGGTGTGGGCAGGAACTGAAGCAGACTTGGAAAGCTTAAAGAGAAAATGAAAGACAGCTCTTGGAACTTCTTGTATGTGTGTATCATTCTCATGAGCCACAGGACCTTATCTTTTTTACAACTCTACTTCTCCTAAATTTCCATTTATTTCTCCTTCCACATTCCCTTTCATCAGCCTAAATTCCAGCTATTAACACCAAGTCAGGTTACATTCAGGAAACAGTAACCACACCAGTCATTTTAACAGATCAGAATGAGGAATTGTTAACCAGTTATTCGAGAATAAGAAAGGCAAAAGAAGGACACTGAGGAATCATAGAAGCAGAAACGGCAGAAAGTGGCAGTCCTGGTTGAAGGAACAAATATGAGTTAGAGGGTCTTAGAATTATCATCCAGGAGGAAGAGCTGTTCAGAGTTGGAATTCAGGAGTCTTGGGTGAAAGTGCTCCCTGAAGAGGAGGGGAACTTTAGAAGCTCAGCAAGGAACAGAGATAGGAGTCCTGTCTTGAAGGAGAAGCTGCCAGCCAGCTAGTGCTGGTCTCCCAGGAGCTCAGACTGGAGACCCCATGGAGCTGAGACTCAGAATGTAGTGATGAATCGTGCTCAGACAATGCTTCAGCCTGAAGAACTAGAAGAGGACCCATCCACAGACAGAGCTGGGATAGCATCTCTGAGCAAAGGGGTTCCCGCCAGCAAGTGCTACTTTGTCACGGGGAGGGAAGTGCCTTTAGGCTGTTTCTGGAAGTGTAGGAAAAAAATGCAAAGTGGACCCGGCTGCTATTCTGTCTACTGCTACTAGAACCAACAACTGTGTTGGATAACACTGTCAGAAACGGGAAGCATATTTCTTCTTCCCTTCAACCTTCCGGTCTCCTCTTGGCTTCTCCTATTGCCAGAAACAGGAAGCCAAGAGGTGAGGAAGAAACATGCTTGGCAGAGACCAGCCTCAGCATCACCAAGCAAAGGGAGGGTGGATTTGAACTGAGAGACAGTAACTTAACAATAAGCGTACAGCCCATTCCTTGCGTGTGTGTTTATAATTAAAGGTGTGTGTGTGTGTGTGTGTGTGTGTGTGTGTGTGTGTGTGTGTTTGTGTGTGTAGATTCTGAATTAACTAAGATTGGCCTGACTCTTTTGGTCCGGTGTCACTCCTGGATGTGGGGGAAAAGGAACACTTCTTCACTGTTGGGGGGAGTGTAAACTAGTACAACCTCTGTGGAAAACAGTTTGGCGATTCCTAAAAGATATAAAAATTGACCTCCCATATGACCCCGCAATCCTCCTGGGATTGTATACACCCAGAGGAACTCAAATCACTCTATGAAAAAGATACCTGCATACGCATGTGTATTGTAGCATTATTCACAATAGGAAAAGCATGGAACCAACCATGCTACCCATCAAAAGAGGAATGGATTAAAAAAAATGTGGTATATATACACAATGGAATATTACCTAGCCATGAAGAAGGACAAAATTATGAACTTCACAGCAACTTGGATGGATTTCGAGGCTATAATACTGAGTGATCTATCACAGAAACAAAGAACCGAGTATCGTGTTCTTACTCATAAGCAGACCCTGAACAACTATTGTAATACTATAAGAAAGGGATTGGCAATAATGAGAAACTGCCAGGGGAGGGGAGGGGCACACCTCATCAATAAGGGTACCTGCATAATGAATATTTGTATACCTAACCCTGAATGGTACCCCACATATTTAAAATTAAAAATTAAAAAAAACAAACAAAAAAGAGGGTCACTTCGGTAGCAGGGCTTAAAATCAACTAAGGACACTTATTTCATTTCCATAACAACTAATAATGTTTAACATTGTTCACGTGTTTATTTGTCATCCGTGTATCCTTTTCAGTCAGCTATCTGTCCATATATTTTGCCCATTTTCTGATTAGGTTGTTTGGGTTTTACAATTGTATTTTGATAATTTTTTTGTGTATTCTGGATACTAATCATTATCAGATAGGGAGTTTGCAAATATTTCCTCCCCATCTGTAGTTTATCTTCTCATTCTCTTATGACTTTTACTGAGCAAAAGATTTTAATTTAGATGAAACCAGTTTATCATTTTTTCCTTTTATGGGCCATGCTGTTATCCTCCAGTCTAAGGACTCTTTGCCTAGTCCCAACCCCAAAGATCGTCTTTGATGTTCCCCCCCCGATGTTTACAGTTTTATGTATTACATATAGGTTCATAATCCGTTTTAAGTGTTTAGATAAGGTAAGAAACTTAAGTCAAAGTTCATTGTCTTGCCAGGAGCATTCGCTGGGTATTCATTTATTTTCTCTTCTCACCGTTAGCAGCTACTGATTCCATTTTTCCGTTCCATTCGAGTATTCCTGACTGTTGGTAAATAAGTAACTTGCACTTGAAACCGAGATATGTTGAGTATTATGGTTTCCTGTCTCCGGATCTCACTAAAGCTTCAGTTGGCTTCCTTTGACAGTGCTCCAGGAGGGGAAGTGGGTGCAGAATTAATGTCAGGTGAAGGCAGAAACCCGTGTTTCTTTACCTGTCCTTGGTTGATATTTGATGATACTTAAGTGGGTGAGTGTTCATCATTAGGACCGGCTTGGGCAAGAGTTACAGGTCCCGCTAGACTTTCACTGACACCTCCCTGGTTGGGAGGAGTAAGACAGCCTGATAAGTGCTACTCTCTGGGTCAGTGAAGATATCATGGAGGGTGAGGGCATGGCCTCGTGACTGCTGGGTGACGGTGAAAGTCCCGGTTCTCTCCTAAGCTTACTCTGACACCATCTCAGCATGGAGGGATGGCTGGGAGTAGAAGTTAAGGATCCTTATGCCATCTCCACTGACGACGCGAGGGGTGGAAGGTGGCCTTCTCACGGCCTAGTAGGATGAAAATCTTAATCCCTGCATCATTTTCTCTGGTTGGGAGAGCAGCCTAAGGAGGGAAGAAATCTAGATTCCTCACTAGGGCTTTGCTGGCCTGGTGGAGATAAGGCCACAGTGTTTTCCTTTTGTGTATGGCTGGATGAAAGCAGTAATTGTCTCAAAGTGTTCTGTCTTGCTAAGCTGCCATTTTCTTACCATTTGACTAGAGAGAGTCAAATGCTCTCTCTCTCCCCACAAACTGCCTTACGTGTGTGTGTGTGTGTGTGTGTGTGTGTGTGTGTATGTGTGTGTGTGTGTGTGTGTATTTGCTGGCATTTCTGGATTTTTGATCTCTTCAACTCCAAATCTGGGATATGCAGTGCCATCAAGAAAATCCAGGAACTCACCAACAGCCATTACTTGGGTCCAGACCTTCCTAGGGGGTTTGTCTTCTCATCTTCACCTACCAAATTTTCTTATACATTTTAAATATATATGCCTGGATTTTTTTGGCTGTAATTATTGGAAAAAATAAAGGATAAAAAGGTCTCTTTTGATATTTTAATGGATCTATTTTTATTTATAAAATTTTAACATAAAAATCAAGGCAGAACCATGAAGCTATAAAAAAACATCTTTACTAAGTCTATTCCATGGCGCTCGGGAGAAATTTCTGCAAAATCATCTTAAAGACATGATTGCCCTACATATTAGGAGCTTCCGAATAATTACTGAATGAAGAAATAATTATTAAA